TTTTCCCATCAAGGTCTGTTTTACCATGTGTAGGTGCATCCAAATGTGTAAGGCTATTAGAAACCAAAAAAATAAAGGAATGGGATAGCTATAATTGGATAAATTCGGCATATGAAAACACCAAGATCAATGATTTTTTTCAGTGGCTGTGTGACCTCGTGTCTGACACATTCATATGCAAATGACTAATCTGTGAAACAAACGGGCGGAGACAACCCACTCGAATGTTTGGAAACACTCATTGTGTGTCAGATAGCTACTGATAACACATCCTAACATTGCTTTGTCTTGAGTTTATCTTTGAAACTTATAGGCACACAGATTAAACCTGTATTGTTGATTTTGGAAAACACTACTGAGGCTGCCTTGCTACCCTTCAGAAAATATACATTTCAACCAACTTACATGACATTCTATGTTATGTTGACTTTATCATATGAAAGTTTATAGTGCATTTCATCAATTAATAAATAAATGTGAAAATCGTAATTTTCAACACAAATAATAGTCTCGCTACCTTAAGTCGGTTTTGAAGAATCAAGCCTCCAGCAAAGAAGCAAAAATTACAAGCCATGCATGGAACAGTCCCCGTTAGTTATTAAATTTAAGATATATAGTTTTGTTTATAGTAATATAGCTGGAATATAACCATTTCAGGAATATGATTTTTTAACATTAAAATGATTGACATTGGTATCAGATCGTCAAACAAGTGCTTGTCCATATTGAGAGATATTGCTCTGGAACAGTATTCAAAATCAGCCATTTGAATACATGTATATATATATATATATATAACATGATGTATAACGAATAAATCAAATTTGAATATAATCAGTCAAAGCATTTAAGAGATATGGATCCAGAAGCCCAATCATTAAAACAAAATGGCCGCCAGTCAGCCATTTTTAATTCCAATCTGAAAAATAAAATGACGTGCATCAGGAACGTGTAATGTGTAACGTATGTTATAAGTTTGAACAAAATCCATCCATAAATGCATGAAATGCTTGATATTTGATGATTTTGTTAGCACAAAAATAGCCACCATTTGGCCACTTTGAAAAGGATCGTCAAACCAATATATCCATACATCTATGACATGATGTATAATGAATATTAAAAATTTGAAAATAATCAGTCAAAACAAGTCAGACATATGGGTCTGGAACCCATTCATTAAAGCAAAATGGTCGCCAGACAGTCATTTTGAATCTGATTTGAAAAATAAAATGATGTACCTGTAATGTCTAATGTATGTACCAAGTTGGAAAGAAATCCATCCATAAATGCCAGAAACGCTTGATATTTGATGATTTTTCAGCACAAAAATGGCCACCATTCGGCCATTTTGAATAGAATCGTCAAACCAATATATCTGTCTATCTATGACATGATGTATAATGAATATTTAAAATTTGAACATAATCAGTGAAAGCAAGTCAGACATATGGCACGAGAACCACATTCATCAAAACAAAATGACCGCCAGTCAGCCATTTTGAATCTAATCTGAAAAACAAAATTATTTGCATCAAGGTCCCATAATGTCTAATGTATATACTAAGTTTGAACAAAATCCATCTGTAAACAGCGGAAAAATGCTTGATTTTGATGATTTTTAGCACAAAAATGGCTGCCATTCGTCCATCTTGAATTAGATCGTGAAACAAATTGATGTTCATATGTATAATATCAGGTATGATGTATGTGTGAAGTTTGATTGTGATTGGTCCAGACATTTCTAAGATACAGGTCCGGACACACGCATAGACGCACGCACGCATACACGCACGCACACACGCATGCAGGCACACACGGAGGTCAAAATATAAGTCCGAACGGGGACTAAAAATTTCACTCTAAAAAGGCAAATAGGGTGTATGATAAAACCAAAAGAATATGGTAAATTGTCCCATTTTGGAAAACTGAATCCATATGGATGATTATGATACTGTCAACGAGCAGACAGTGTATGTGAAGTATTTCTGACTTTAATGAAAGTCATCACTGCAGTGACACTGATTGAATGAAATACAATGAACCGATTAGAAATATTGAAAACATAAACAAGGCTGGTAAATTTTTTAAAGTTACCTGCCCTGTCTGGTAAACTATTTTGACAAATTCCAAACACTGGTTACATTTGAGCACATGTGTATATAGCTCAAATAAAATACACCCTTCTCTTCAGAATATAATTGTATTGAAATCATATATTATTTAACATTATTACATAATTACTGTAAATACATTTATTTTCACTGCCATTTAATTTCAATATTTGGTTCGTTTCACCACAAGTGCACAAATTTGGAAGACCAACAATGAACTCAATATTATTTTACTTGTTCATATAGACGCAATTTAGCAGAATTTCCTTATCAGTGAAAAGAGTTTAAATAAAAACCCAGTGAATAATAAATGCATTTACAGTTTGTTAAGCATTCATATAGTTTCTTGTATAAATTATATGACATATCTTTGAGAGAATGTAAAAATCGGACATGAAAATAACAACATGGCCGCCAGATGGCTATTTAACTAATAAAAATAAAAATACAATAGTGAACATCGGTAACTCATCATATGTGATGTCCATCTCAAGTTTGAATAAAATCAGCCAAGCTTGCCTGAAAAATGGCTGATAACATGTTTTTAGTGTTTTAGTAACAATAATGACCCCAGTTGGTCAAAATTCATTAAAACGAAAAACTAATTTGTATGCATACTAGTATGTACACTATTATGACTTGATTTCTATCAAGGTTGAAAAAAAAAAAATGATTCAGGATGGACACACAAATGGATGAACAGACAGACGAAACAACAGTTAGACAGTTTTCTTTTGATTGAAAGTAATAGGTAGCAATGTAGCCTAGAATTTAGAGTCTACTCCCTTTCTGAGGTCTACAAGATATTTCCTATAATGCCCAAGTACTAAAAAATTGGTCACGGAATGCAATTATGATTAACAATTGACAATGAATTTAATTTGTTGGTTAGTTGGCCATAGTATGTATGGCATTTGAAAGCATGATCTCGGAAAGTGAATAGATTGTAGACCAGCGTCAGTTATAATGTTGAATGGGTTCCCACTCACCTGGTACTTGAGGACTGTGTACAAGGCTTTACCATGTATGTACCCGGAGGGCACAGGTAACAGCGTACACCCCGGTGCTGGAATGTTCGTTTCTCTGATGACTTTCCTTTGTAGCACTTTGATGCGACAACATTGATCTGTGGATTAAAAATAAAAATAGTATGCTAAATAAATTTACTATAATTCTGAAATTGGTTATACTTACATTATTAGTTCAACATTATCAAAAACATTATATCATAAATCTATGTGTACTATAACCATGAAAAAACAGGACAACTAAAGATCATAGCAACGTAGTACATATGAACAACAGATTTGACAATCACAGTATTTTTGGGGTATATATTTCCACTCTTAACCTTTTTCCCACCAGTTCCCTCTTTTCATTGCAAATTCACAAAATATTCCTGTTTATAGTCTGCATTTTCTTTCAACATACCGGGGGTATTGGGACAAAAATAGACAATTTTTTTTAGTAAAAACTGAAAAATGACTCAAATTTTGTCTGTTGGCTTCAAAATAAGGGTTCATTTTTCAGAAATACTGAGGACTATAAGAAAAAAGTGCAGAAAATTTAGGCGAGAAAATCTGGTAGTGAAAATGTTAATAATGTGCTATACACAATCTGATGATGGTCAATTTTCATTAAGTATAAATATTTCAATGTCGTATCCCCCTCTGAAAAAAATGGATTTTGAAAGTGAAATATAAAACAAGCAGCCTCTAGACTGAGATAGCCTCCGCTGTTAGCAATGTATATTTCAATTAGAGAATAGAAAATATCATAAAATATATGTATAATGTCAAAGCCATGAAACTTGCAGTTTTCAACAAGAAGTCGAAAATTTAACTTTTTACCAAATATGCCAAAAATAGTCATCAAAGGTTGAGAGGACCACTTGAGGTACCGAGAGGTGGCACAGATTCATTCACTAATGAATGCGATGCGAAGGACCTTGGTTAAGGTCTGCAATTCGATCGAGTCTGGTTTACACCAGGATAGTGCATTAAAATGCATTTGATGGGTATACAAAAAAAATGTCAGGAGAGAATTTTTTTTTTATACATTTAAATGCAACACATTCATGTTGAATTTTTGGATCAAAACACAAATCAAAGAAAGCTTACTAAGAACTCCATGTTCTGAGAGTATTGGAGACACATTAAATATAATTCAAAATTACTTGTCAGAGATAGTGATGGAAAAGCCAAAAAACTAATAATGCAAATCAGAAAATTAATATGAACAGATTTTAATGGAAAACTAATGTGGTCTGCGCAATGTAAGAGACCATCTATGTAACAAGTTTTATTGAAATGTGATTGGAACCAAAAAAAATTATAAACAAGTCATTGTCAATGACACGTCCCCATTCCGTTCATATTTGAGTGACATATACATTCAAAGCAGATCATGACCGAAATGCACCTGCATATGTACAACACATTGTGCTAAATCTGAACAAAATCCATCCATGCATGACTGAGACCCGGTTCTGGAATTGTGAAAATACGTGATTTTGATGCATTTTCGGCCTTAAAATGGCCATCATTCCGCTATTGTTAAGCAGATCATGAAACAAATGCACATATCTATTTGTGACATGATGTACCATGTGTGTGTGAAGTTTGAACTTGATCAATCCAGACATGTCTTGGATACGGATCCAGAACTGAATTCTTTAACAAAATGGCCGCCAGTCGGCCATTTCGAACTTGATCCGAAAAAAAAAAAGACGTGCATCAAGGTCCTATTATGTTTAATGTATGTACCAAATTTGAACAAAATCCATCCATGCATAACTGAGATACGGGTCCGGAATGGTGAAAATGTGCGATTTCAATGCATTTTCGGCCTTAAAGCGGCCCCCATTTGGCTATCGTTAATGAGATCATGAAACAAATGCACATACATATTTGTGACATGATGTACCTTGTGTGTGTGAAGTTTGAACTTGATCAATCCAGACATGTCTCGGATACGGATCCAGAACTG